CGCCCCGCCGGGGGCACCCCCTGCCCCTCATCCCCCCGCACTCCTTCCCCGCCCTCCCCTCTTCCCTCACCCCCTCGTTCTTCACCTTTAATTCTTTAATTATTGCGTACCTGAAAAAATACTCTTTTTGCCAGGCGGGTCACAAGCGATCAAGAGGCTGTTGTATATTATAATGTTTTCATATTCCTCTCGGCTCCCCCTGCCCTCTACCGACTCACTGTAGATGTGACCTTTGGTATTTCAGCCCACACTCAGCAGTTGAATGGAAACAAGTTGAGCACGTTCACTTCTGATAAACATTATCCTTAAACCACTAGAGACCCGGGTAGAGTAAACGAAGTTTTCCGACAGGACCACATCAGGAACACACATTGAGAAAGGGAAAGAAACCGAATATCCAGGAGACCAGAGGCGGGCTCCGCGGCGGAGGGGTGGGATGAGGGGGGCAGGCAGGTTGGAGGACACTGCGGGGGGGGGCGGCAAAGGGCACAACGGGCACAGATGGGGAGAGAAGCGGCCTGGGCAGGGCGGGGGGGAGCAGAGCACAGGGTCACGTCGGAGCAGTGGGGTGACCTGGGGAACCGCAGGGGTCCCGGCCAGGCTCACGCAAACTGCCCCCAGCAGCACAACCTCCGTCGGCAGAGCCAAGCTGAGGAAATAGGAGGAAAGGAGGAATAGGAGGAAGGGAGGAATAGGAGGAAGGGAGGAATAGGAGGAAGGGAGGAATAGGAGGTCTCTGCAGCGCAGGCGGTGGCACATCGAGAGGCAAAGCTGCGGCAGGGGCACGGGCAACAGCCTGGCGCCTCTACGGCAGTAGACCTCTACCTGTAAAAAGAGCGAAGTTGTAAGAGATCCGTCTAACGACAGTATTTCGGGAAGAAGTATGATATTCGTAAAGACGGGAAGTTTTACCAACACGCGTTCCCCGCCATTCATTACATTATAATTAACCTAATTAAATGCTGAATCTGCGTCCCACCAGCTCAGTACCTCCTCCCTTAAAAATCCCCGCCGAAGCAGGTCAGCTCAAAATACCAGGAAGGCTCTGGCTTTTGCAAATGCACGCGAGGTTCCCCGCGCGGCGTGGGTTCTCCTCGGGGAGACCGTATCTGCTCGTGGAGGGAGGTGATGGTATCAGGGCTGGGGAAGAAGCATGAGTGCGATATTCTATACGTGCGACTCACTTTTCCGGGGGAAAGAAAAATAGAAATTTCATAGAAAAGTTGGGTTTTAATCCAATGCGGAGGACTCAAAATGATCTACCGATATTCTAATCAAATAAGGTCATGCCTGCAAAGGAGTCACGATTGCCTTTTTTCTTCCAAAACCAAAAACCGGCACAGGCATGCCATTAATTTCTGGGCGATTTCCTGTAGTATCCGACTTACTCCCGATTTTGCACATTCACTGAGATACGTGCAGGCTCCAGCATCCAGCTCATTTCATTTGTTTTTTATAAAAACATTCCTTACAAATATTTCATTAAAAATAATTTCATACGGGGTTCACACACCTCCGAGACATCCAATTTATATTTTGCTCGCTGATACAGTCACCCCAGTCAATATACTATTTATTTTTATTTAAAAAATCATTTATAGAGTCCGTTTCTCCGAAACTCGATTTAAAAAAAGCAATAAACAAATAAATAAAATTTCTCAGAGCATTGGAAAGCAAAACACGATAAATTCTTGGCTGGCGCTGAGAAGCCTATGATCTCTGTGTGTAACATGATGTATGGGGGATGTATGTAAGGGGAACACACACAAGCTGGCAGAGCAGGATCCGTACGCCCGATGCCAAACCAAACACGTCTCGTTCTCCCTTCCACATACACAAACACACCATGACCCACACGCACTTTAATTCCTACCAGCTTTGTCTGTTTTTCTTTTAACTGTTAATATGTAGTAGTGTCTTTGACAAAGGTTGAGATCAGCTGCAAGGTGCTGACATTTTACAGTTAAACACTGTGCCATATTTTATATGGAGATTAAA